GTACAAAGTGATCCACGGACCGGTACCGGTCCACGGCCCGGTGGTTGGGGACCCCTGTTTTATACTATTCTTCTGTAGTAAGAGTTTTGTTCCCATGAGCTATTCACACACACGATGGGAGTTCATTCATTTTCTAATATTACCTAAAAATAAAGATCCTCCCCAGAGCGTTGTTATAGTGGTGCAATTATTTTTAATCCTTAAAACTAAAATTAGAGTTTGTTTTACAACAAATGATATCTAACTGAAATTATGAGTTCTGTCCTGTATGTCAAGCAACCTGTCAGCAGATTGTTAACATCAGTAACATATTAAGATAGTTCTTCTCAAAATGTGATTCAAGCTAATCAAATACAGGAAAGTGACACATAAGGTAGCCAGGTAATTTAATAATCTGAAGAAGTTTATTGGTGTGTAAGAGTGAGGGAAAAGAAAACACAATCAGGCTTTCAAGATTCTGTTATTATAGCCTATAGCAATAAAGTATAACGCACAGATCAATATATGTTGTCACTCATGGACTGGGGACAAGATGACAGCAACATAATAGGGACAAGGCAGAAAAAAACTGCTAGCAAATTAGATCAATTGGAAAGATTCTTAACCTTCAGTAGTATTGATGTGACGCAGAAGGCTTTCCAGTGAAAAGACATTACCAAACAGAGCAGGACCAAACATTTTGGCCAATTTTTCTTTTGCTTTGGCAGACTTGGGGAGCATTCAGAGAGGGATTTGGAGTGTTTCAGTTTATAGATTCTGAATGCTTCTATTCTTTCCTTTATATGAAGTATCATGAAATTTTTCCCATGCTTAATCTTATTTATTTATTTGTACCCCATCTTTATTATTTTTACAAATAATTCAAGGCAGCGGACATGTCAAACCAACCTTCCTCCTCCAATTTTTTTCACAATAACAACACTGTGAGGTGAATTGGGCTGAAAGAGACTGACTGGCCAAAAGTCACCCAGCTGGTTTGCCTGGCTAAGGCGGGACCTGACCTCACGGTCTCTCACTTTCTAGCCTGGTGTCTTGACCACTAGACCAAACTGGTCTAATGATTTTATCTTTCCAAGACCACAGTGACATCACAGCTTCCAAAGAGACCACGATAAATTTTATTTTCTTATTAAAAAATGAAACTTTAGGAAGAAGAGAGAAAAGCAGACTAGTTGTAATTGCATAAATAATTTTGCAGTTGCCAGAAAACACAGTGTATGTTGACTTTTTGGCTGCACTATAATATTGGAGAAACCAGAATGACCTCATCAACTCTGATCTCCAGAGTTTAAAAGATATTTTCACAGCTGGAATCCTTACTTGGCTAAAGCTACATATGACTTTCCATTGTCAAAATATAAAACTGTTGATTGCCCTGTTATACATTATTTAAAAAAAATATTTCTTTTGATTCAGCCATCTTTAACTTGGGAGGGAGGGGGGGAGGGAAGGAGGGAGGAAGGAAGGAAGGAAGGAAGGAAAAGCTGTAGGCTAAAATTTAAGACACCACTTAGTTTTAAAGGTAAATATTATCACTCTAGATTTAATTGAACAGCAGTTCTTTATTCTTCAGTTGGGTTTGTTTTACCTGTATTAGACTGAATCATATATATAATGTTAAAAATTACAAGGTTTGTTGAATAAAAATATGAAAAGACAGAAATGAAGATATTGATGTGCCTTATAACAATAATATGAATTTGGCCTATTTTCAGAGTGTCAGATTTTTCATTTGTTCCTAACCTGCTCAAACTGTAAATCTTACATTGACATTTTGCATCACATTGCAAAACAATATCCAAATATAAAATGTGATTGCACATGGCTGCGCCAAATGCCACGGTGTTGCTCTAAACACCACGGCAGCAAGGGAGAAGGGAAAGCAACGGTGGCGGAAGGTCTCCCGATACGAAGTGCCCCACCAACGCTGAGGTCAACATTCAAGCCGTCGCTACCCACCCACCCAAGGATGCAAGGCAGGGGGAATTAAGTCACCCCTGAAAAGATGGCCTGGCCGTTTTTTGGGGGGGTCAAAAAAAAAATAAGGCCCGGCCTTATTTTGTGAGAAACACGGTGTGTGTGTGTGTGTGTGTGTGTGTGTGTATGTGTATATATATGTGTGTGTGTGTATGTATGTATATATGTATGTATGTGTATCAGCTACTCAGGTCAGCATTATTCAAACTAACTGATCATGTCAAGTAGTATATCTGGTAAGCAGTGGCGGATTAAGGCTCACTTGTACACACACACACACACAAATATTTAGATTCAAAGAAAAAATAATTCAGAGTTCACATATCCAAATTGGTGGCAGCTCCTTAAAGTATTTGCACACAATCCCAGAAAAAATGTTTCATTTAAGAATATGCTGGCAGATATAATGTGCATATCCTTGTGAGCACTGTGAATCCAGATAGCTGCACAGGTAAAATATTTGTGCTTTTATGAATACTGATTAGTTAAAAGTTTGAATTTAATCCATAATGGGCTTGCACTATGATCATTAGACCAATATATTAACTATTTAAATATTATTAAATATTAATTGAGGCATTCCAATTTTTATATTTATTATTACATCTAGTTGAACTGGAAATAAACTGGAATGTATTATGTAATATTCAAGACAGTACCTATAAAGTGTTCTTACCAGCTCAGTTGCTAGAGATACATTCTCCAATTCATCAATACTCTCCATTGATATTTCTGTCCCAGGCTCTGATACTGTTCAAAACAGAGAAACAAGAATATCAAACTAGGAGAACAAGTAACATCAACCCAGTAATCTGTAAGCTTTTTTAAAAATTACAATGGAAAATGTCAGTTGTTACTTCATGGAGGTGGGACTTTTGAAAAAATAACTATTAAGTCCTAGTGGTGAATTGGTTAAAATGCAGTATTGCAGACAAACTCTGCCCACAGCCTGAAGTTTGATCCCGAGGAGGCTCAAGGCTGACTCATCTTCTATCTTCTGAAGTTGGTAAAATGAGGACCCAGATTATTGGGGGCAAAATGCTGACATTGTAAACTACCTGAGAGTACTGTAAAGCACTATAGGGCAGTAAATAAGCCTAAATACTATTGTTATTGCTTTAATCTGTATCTACCCATTGTCTCTATGTCTCCTGACTAAACAATTTCTTATCATTTTTGTTCGGTTTCCATATCTCCTTATTTTCTGGTTCTTTCTCTTATTACCTCTTTTTCCCTTCATTTTTTCCTTCCTTTTCTTATTCCAATTTTTATCCCCCTCCCTCTTTAAAATTTTCTTCTGTAATTCCCTTTTCTGCAGTTTCCTTTTTCTTTGTTTGGCTTTCAAGACATTTCCCTTTTTAATTGTCTCTTCAAACCTCCAAGTTTTAATTCCCATTTTCCCCACTTTGTTTTAATGTTCATTGCACCATTTGTTCATTAAAGCTGGCTTCTTCTTTAATCAGCTCCTCCCCTTCTGGCACTCCTTGTTCTTTGTTTTCCAGAATCGCCATTTCTATTAATTGTAAGGTAATACAGCATGATTCATTTCTTTCATGTAACATTTCCTTTATGTTTCTTAATGCCATTTTTAATTCCAAGAAAAGTTCTGCCATTTTTATACAGTTACTTTATATTTTCTTTATCCCTTTCTTTAGTATTTAAGTCCAAGCCAATTGTCCACTAGTTTAATTCAACTAGCGTCTTTGAAGTTTATTTCCAACAATCAACTTCTATTAATTCCTCTTTAAGTTTTTTTCCAAAATCATCAAATAATCCAATATTCATGTTTAAATTTGTGCCAAAATCACCAAACAGTCCCAAGACAATTTCTTCACACTTTTTTCTTTTATTTTAATATTCTGTGTTTTCACTTTTCAGGGTTTCTATTTTATTGTAACAAAGTTCCTCTTGCTTTGTATCAAGTTTCAATTTTGAAAAAACCAGACACTTTTTTTAAAAAGTCACTATAATTTTTCTTTTACCATTAGGTGGCATTCTCTGTTACATCCAAATTCCACCCTTTCCACATTTTTCCCCTCTTTATTTGAGGCTTTCAAGTTTCAAAAAATTCAATAAGTCCAAATTATTAATCATTTCCTTTTAGTACATTCAAGTTCAGCATTTAATTACACCTATTTAGTGCCAGAATCATATAATTGTCCAAATTTTCTTCCAACTTCCTCTTTCAATTTAGCTCTGTCAAAATTCAAATCCTCTTTCATTTATTTCACCTTTCTTTTCTCTCTCTGGTCGCCGCTTTGTAATCCTTTTAGAAAAATTCTTTATACCTTAATTCCAGGGTATCTTTATGTCCATAAATTATGCCTGGTCTCCATGTTGTCCACTTCTTCACCACTCCAGCACAAACTTAATTCCTGGATAGCTTCCCGTCTTCAGGGCAGACATTAAAGACTGCTGCTTACTCCTGTCTTCAAGGGGAGTATACATAGCCAGGGAGGGGAGATGTGGCTCCCCTCGATCCAACTGGTGGTCTCCCCCTCTTTCCCCACCCTGCTGAGGTGGATCCAGTCCCGTTTGGGACCCTCCAATAGGGTAAACATGGATCGAAGCTGCGCACAATCATGGTCTCTGGTCCATCACCAACGGAAGTGCCACCAGAAGTCCCTATTGCTCTTGCTATTATATGGGGTTCTGTTTTTGCTTTAATCAAAGAAAAATAAGATTCCAACTAAGACAAATCCAACTCAACTTCAGCTTTCAAATTGAAAATGTAAGATGACTTCATTGTATAAAAAAGAACTAGGAAAGCCATTTTATATAACCTTTTTAAAAATAAAATCCACTTATTTGAAATTAAAACCCATATTGTCATCCTCACCAGTTTCATCCACTATACATGATTTGCATTTTCTGTTTATTCTCAGTGCCTAGAATTTAATTATTTCCAAGCATTGATTTATAACATTTTTCTCTAACTCCTGAGATAAAGGAGGGATACAAAGGTAACAACTAAATAAATGGAGCAATCAAAAAAATTACCAACAGATTCTGGTCCTTCTTGCTCAAATGTATGAGAGACAACAGACGGATCCTCTGCACTTTCTGTCAAAGTATCTCCTTGCAATCTAGATGATTAAAAACAGAAACATGGTGCTGCTATTAGAGAGACTTGCTATATGCAAATATCATGCAAGTCTGAGTTTAATAATGCCTTTATCTATTCCCCTGATTCTAAAGGTCTTTTGTACATTGAGCCACTTAGTTCAGGCTACAGAGAAAATGCTATGTAATTGTGGAGCATATAGTACATCACTAGCAAACTCGTGAAATTGAAATGCCCTACATCTTGTGTACTTCTGAATTTCTCTTATGGATAAATCTACCTGCAAAGTGAACTTTTAGGAAAAAACATTCTTGCTATTAAAAAAAACTCAGGAAGGGAAGGAGAAAAGGGGTAAGAGCTAGCTGCTATTTTTAGCATTCTTCATTGGTCAGTTTAAACAAATGCATATGAAATTATGTTCATATTCATTAAATGTGTCATTAAAGCAGATGGACATACTCCCCAGAGAACATGGCTACTTTAATGCTCCAAGGAATGAAGCTTCTTTTAAATGTTTCCTTCACTCTAGCACCCAACCACTGTCACTGTCTCCATTATTGTTACTTGAACTTTAGGCTTTCTCACATCAACACTTCATATCAGAGACTCTAAGGGAAAAGATCCAATGCCTGCCTTGAGCCTCCATCCCCTTTTGGGCTATCTGATTGTTAACTTTTTGGGACCATACAAAGCATAACATCTGTTTTACAGTTTTAATTTTTCCTCCCCTGCCCCCTGCCCTTTTCCTCAAAAGAACAAAAGTCAAAGTTAAACATTTCTATTGTGTCATTGGACATGACTGTGCAACTCTACGCAAAAGTTGACCCCTCTAATTTTTATAATCAATAAACATAATAATTAAGCTTAAAAAGATTTTAAAAATCTTACACAGATCTTAACATAAATCATAAACTTCCTTGAACAATTTTAAAACATTTCATAAAACTGAAGGCTAGTTGTATGTCAGAAATCACCTAGGCTAGTAGTGCACTACTTGCATTACTAATAAGTACAGCAAAACAAAATATTCAGAAACAAATATTCAGAAACAAATAGTGCTTATTTTACTTTTGAAAAACCCACCCTTTTGCCATTTTGGTTCATCATTAGGCCTAATTTTGTTAAAATTTGATTTTAGTAATTTTCTCTTTTTTCAAATCTGATTTTGGTCATGCATCAAACCTTGTAACATTTTAGAATTGCAACTTTTGAGTCAGAGTTACAGATTCAGTAATATTCCCCCTTACATAAGTTGTTATATGCATTTTAAAATTTCAAATATGCCAATCTCTAATGTGCAGAGACAAAACTTAGGGGGTGCTACTCCTTCTGATAACAACGGCCATAACAAAAATGGCTCATTTTCAATTTTAGAGCCCTAAAATATAAAGTATAAATACTTTTCTATTTAGAAAATGTTAAATCAGTAAGCCTAAAAATACAAAACTTCAAATCAGCAGAAAATGCTATCAATCAATACAGCCTGGGACACCCTAAATCTTGAGCCCGGCACCATTTATATGCAATTTAAGGTATGATTTCTCTGATAATTAAACGTACCATTTATCTGTAGAAAAATAAGAAACATTAAAATTATTAATATATATCGTGAGACTTATATATTCATGACATTGAGATTATAACTGTTGTTAAGTTAGTAACATGGTTGTTAAGTCAATCTGGCTTCCCCATCGAGTTTGCTTGTCAGAAAGTCGCAAAAGGTAGTCACGTGATTCCAGGACACTATAGCTGTTATAAATATGAGTCAGTTGCCAAGCATATGAATTTTGATCAGATAAACCATGAGGACGCCACAATGGCCATAAGTGGGGAAAATGGTCATAAGTCACTTTTCAGTGCCGTTGTAACTTCGAACGGTCACTAAATGACCTGTTGTAGGTTGAGGACTCTCCGTATAATGAAAGCTTTATATATGGTTTTCTATACACTACTTCAATCAGTACGCTGCATAGAAGGCTAACTTTAAAGATCACTCAGACAGTAAGACTGGTCCAAAATGTGTGACCAACTTGCTGGTTGATACCCGTCAGCAGCATGTAACACCTGCTATGGGCCAACAGTAATCACCAATACATTTCTGGTTGCAATTCCGGTCTGGTGTATCATTACTCACAAAACCAGCTTTTCTCTGACCCAAATGCTTATCCAGAAAAAATTGGGCTGCCCACTTTCAGGATGTGAGAAAAACTAAAGTTGATAAGCATTATTTTTTTAGTTAAGGCTTGCTCCTTAAAAATTAAATTGGCTCTTGCCTTGATATCATTCCATAATATGATAAAGACATTATTCTTCTGGAGGACAATATGACCCTAACTATAACTTATCTTTCACTCTGATTTCTCCCACCCCCTCATTTTCATTTTTATCTCACCTTTTTAAAAATATATATTTTGGGTCAAATCAAGAAGGTGAAGGTATCTAATACTCCTGCCTCTTATCTTTTCCATAGCAACAACCCAGTGAAGAAGGTTGGGTTGAGACAAAACTATTGACTCAAAGTCACCCAGCTGGCTTTCATGCCTGAGGAGCCTAGAACTCACCATCTTTGATTTCTTTACAACTTAAGATTCTTAAACAAAATTAATAATGGTTAGTAATGGAATCTAATCCCAATAAGATACAATGAATACTGGAAATAAACGGAGTATTGATTAAAAATATTGTTGAAGGTGGCCCTGATGACTTGTTTTTTTCCCCACGAAATAAAGTGATTTTTTATTTATAGGATGGACATAGCCTTTCCTCCCTTCCTTTCCCTTTCTCTTGTTTTATGGAATACTTGCTCTTTTGTACTATAAATTAGTTTACTTACGCCCTTCACAAGATCATCAAGATTTCTCTGGGATTCTTAGTGTTTTGTTTTTTTTCAAATGATGAAATTGGTGCTAATAACAAAAAGCTATTTTATATGATAGAAAACATATAAAATACTGCTATCAAATTATATGTTCAGGTTTTGTAGAAGCATTAAGTAATTATAACTCTTTTCATAATATTGTTTACCATAAGAAAATATATATCAAAGTTATAGGGTTTGGATAATAACTTATTTAAATACACAATAGTAATTATTGTTGTTGTCAGGGTATGGCATTGTTACATTAGCCAGGAGACCACATGCTATTGCAGAGTAGTAGTTTGGCTGGCAATTTACCAGTTGTGTTGTGGGACATGCTTGCATACTTCCCAAAGTGTGCCACAGAAGGACAAGCTCACTTTGAACCAGAAGGAAAGACCGGTGGCTCTTCTTGCAGTGTCAGCCAAGGCAATTTCATGTCATGGTGGTAACTTGATAAAATTCTTACGGGTTATCATTAATCGGTTTGAATCAGCCTGGCCTATTTGAACTTTGTTCACAATTCTTAGAAGATATATAGGGTCAAGGGATGGAGGCACTGCTTTTTTTGTAGCCGTGCCGGCAGTTTCATATGACTTTTCATTGGAAGTTAGACAAGTCCTTACTTCGTCTTCCAGTAGCAATTGAAGTCAGAGCTCTTCCAGCAGTGGGTGATTGGAGCTTCATGCTTGTTTTTTGGTTTGCTTGGCTGAGTTGGTTTTTGGATTTGGGTTTTTTTGTGTTTTACTATAATGCATTCTGGATGATATAATGTTTGCATTATTGTGAAATTGCAAAAGGTACATCAAGGTCAAATGTGATAAGAAAGCCAGTTAGTGGTGAAGATGCTGGTTTAGAAACTGATTTGGCTGATCTGATCTATTGAAAAGTTACTATTTAAAATCTCAGTGATTTTTTTTTTTTCAGGAAAAAAAAGGCAAACTGGATTTTTAGATTTGTCTCCAAAAATAATTTGTCAAAACAAATAGAAAACATTCTTGTAAATTTGTCTTCTAAAAGTTTGAAACAAAACCTGCAAGTAGATAGATAATATATATTATAAAAGTGATAGACAGTTATTTTTCTTTTCCCCTACACCGAGAGCAATTCTTTATGACAATCTCTAGAATGTTTTAAAACTGGGAATGTTTTGATTATCCCATTAACATTTTAATGTGTTATTTTTGGGTTTATTCAGTGGGAAAATGTGGTCAACTAGGGAAATTCCACGTCCCATGAGATTTTGATTAAGCCGCAACATAAATCTTCTCTCTTATTTCTCTACAATAAAGCTCAGATTTTTAGACATATCTTTCACAAAAAAAATTCATAGGGTGTTCACCATGAAACTGGTTGAGCAGCATTGGATTCAAAATTACTGTTTTTAGTTCACTATACACATTTGCTGTTTAGCCACAATTTAAGCAAAAATACTGAGGTTAAAAAGACTTAAATGCATGTGAACAAATGGTTTATACTACACAATTACCTTATCTTTTACTTGCCTTAACCATGTGTCTAAGAAAAATGTTCAGTAAATTCAGAGATACCAAACTTAGACCAAGAAAGCTAGTCCTGTGCTTACTTATAGAGACAAATGCCCTTCTGAATTTATTGGAACATGTATGAGAAGTGATTTCTACTTTCTGTTTCATAATTCACTCACTCAAAAATGCCTCCACTTTTTATTTTTTCCCAAATCCCAAAAAGGTTTGATGTGATATTTAATATATAAATGTATAAATGACATCAAGTGAAGAGGCAATTAAAGCTATATTAAAAACATTTCAAAGGAAAAAAATACTGTTATCACAAAAATTATGGGATTGGGTATATCATATTTCTATATGTATTAGTAATAATGCTCTGTATTTCTCTATAGACCAAATATTTCTAGAGGTAATCAGCATGCAATGCTTATAAATTTTCTGTCAACCATTCTCTTTTATACATTTAAACTATTGAAAATATGAAACAGAAACATCTTCTGGCAATAGAAATAATTTCTCTGAAACCCAATATTGCCCAGAGACCCAGCTGCAGGGGTTGTATATGAGAGCTGAGAAAACTGTACTGAACCTTTGTTCCCTTAAAGTCCACAGTTATAAGGACCAGTAAGAACTAGTGCTAGTGTGGGTCTGCTTTGACAACCATTTCCAGAAACAGCATCCACTTCTTCGTACCTTCAAACTATTTGTCTTAGAAATTCGGCAATAGAAGGACATGAAAAAAGATTGACAGAAAAAACTTGTAGATATCTTGCACATCACTTCAAGTAATTCATATCTAAATGTATGTTAAACTTTGCTACTTGCCTAATATGTTAAGAGATAAAATAGAAATAATTTTTCCTAAAGAAATAAATATGCACAAATTTAACACTGATTATAAATCTGAGGTCATATATCTTACATGACTTGCAGTACTTCTATGTTCATTGGTATTATTGTTTATTATTTTTTCAAACACAACTAGAACAGTCTTTCTGTTGTTACTAAATGGAACTGATGATTTAGCATTGTTTGTGAAATGCAAATGATACAGGAGAGAACCATTATAAAAAAACGTACACTAATCTCTTTAATAATTACTGTCTAATATTTGTATCACATAAAATACAAATTGGCAGGAAATAACAAGACAATGGTAAAGACTACTTACCATTAATGTTTTTACTCATTTCCACCACTTACCAAAGTTGGCTAATACTACTGCTGAAAAGCCCTGCTTGAAAATGAAGTTTTGACAAAGAAATCAAAGGATGTGTAATTTTACCTTTTCAGTTGATTTTGCTGCTCCAAATTTTGGCTGTCACACTACATATGGAAAAAATAAGTTCCAGCTGCCAAAGCCAGAAAAACTTCATTCTGATTTGATCTTTCCAAAGATTTAGGATTATGCAGTATTTATAAGGCAACTTCATGAACTCCCAGAAGATATCCATGCAACCAAATCTTCATTTACACAGGTGTATTTCTGAGCCTGCATATACTTTAAATCATCCTCAAAGAGCCATGGAATGCAAGTTAATCAAAGTTAAAGGGGAAAAAATTAAAATAATCCCAGCTTGTTATGTAAGATTGCCTTGTAACATTTGGTATGCTTTTACTGTGAACATTGTAAAGTGTAAAAACAAGGCCACCAATTCTATCTCCATCTTTAATGAGGTAGTCCTCATTTAGCAACTACAATTAACAATTCACAGGTGAAGCAAAGTGGTTGCTGAGTGACTTTGCTCATGATTTTACACAGGAAAAAGCATACCATGTGACCGCAATGGCATACACCCGATTGAGAGAGAGATGCTGTAAAGCTTATCAATGTGGGTATTGGTTGCAAAACTACTTTTTCATCACCATCGTGACCGCAAACGGTTGCTATCAAGGCAGTCACTGTGAGAACTACCCATACATTCAACAGCAATAGTAGGAAAATGGTAGCAATAGCCGGAAAAGTAAAATACATCATTTGAAATGACTTCATCCGATTCAGTTTAAAGCTCCTCCTTCTAAACCTTCAGATCCAAAGAAAATCTCAAGTAATAAACACCACTGCCACATTTTAGATGAAAAACAATGCGAACCTGAAATAAAGGTTAAAATGGATAGATTCTGTACCCTTACGAGGTGAGCAGCATATAAATTTAACAAATAAGAAAAATAGGTCAGATAAAAGTGAATCTTTCTCTTTTCCAGTCCCAGCAGGTGGTGCTGTAAATTCCACTAAAGGCCTGTCTAATAATTTACCTGGCACATCTTGCACAGATATTCAGGGTAACTTTGGCTTGTGGTTCAGCTGTATGTGAACTTCGAGTTTGGTTAAATTTGCTTCCAGTAGATACCACACTGGTTACCCCTTCCATTCTTAAATCATCAAGATCTTCTGTAAAGGAAATGATTTTTTTAAAATAAAAGTACAGTGAAGAACTTAAATAATATAATCTAATATATTCATTATAAAAATCCTTATAGAAATTCTCAAGGTAAAACAAATGTGGAATCTGGACAAACGAGAGAAGAGGAAGCGATTGCTGACTGGGTGCTGCTGTCTGTTTCCTGAGTGCTGCAGATCACACCCTATGCTGCTGAGTGACACTGGTTGCCCACTGAGTGTGATCTGACAGTTGCTTCCTGTTGACCTTGAGGAACAAGGAAGAATGCAAGAAAGCCAGATTCTGGAGAGCAAGCAAACAGTGCAGTTTGGCATTTGAAAATCTTTCACTTAGGTTACCTTTCCATTCTTTCTAGAATTGCAAAGGTAATGTGGGATCAGGAATAAAGACAACCAAGGAATTCCCATCCTTCAACTAGCCCAGTTTGGTGTGTGTGTGTGTGTGTGTGTGTGTGTGTGTGTGTGTGTGTGTGTGTGTGTAGACAAAATAAACATCAAGCTCAATTGAGATAATAAACTTCCAAAGATCCAATCTATATTTTAACCACTTGAGATTAAAGAAGCAACAACATATTTATCTTTTGAGTCTAGGGACAAAAAACTATGAGAAACATTTCAAGAAGTAAAAAACTCAGGTTTTTTCTGCTTATGGAATGATGGATAGAATATGAACAATATCAAAATAGTAATTCCTGCTATGATTCTCTTTAATTTGGACAAAAAGAACTTTGTGTATACTCAAATGAAATTCACAATTACAGCAAATACTCAGAGATGCATAGTCTAATAAGAAATTTCATTTAAGTATTTGGAGGCTGATGCTTGATTAAGAAATTAGCTCTTTGATCATCCCTCTTAAAATAGGCTTTGGTAATACATGTCTTTATGAATTTTTTATGAGTTTCAATTTGTGTTATCTATTTAAAATGCTCTATACATTTTTATATTCTTACAATGTAGGCTAAGATTTAAAACATAAAATTCTACACCCTTTCCTTTCCTTTGCCAATTCTTCAGAACATACACTAAGAGACTATTTCTGACATGGAAGTTTTATGTGGAGAATATATTATCTTCACTTAGCAAAGGATATCAATCTCAGACATATTTCAGTAAGATTTAAATTTCATGAGAAAAGTCTAAACCTGCATCATATCTTTCAACAAAAGATTATAGGAGAAAATACAGTATATTTTTAGAAACATAAAGACTACTATCATGTCAGATTATAAAATCTTGTTTCTAAATGATTCTGCTTTTGAAACCAATCTACAGTAGATAGGTTTAAGTCTGCAGCCTATGGCTCAACATATTTTTCTTCAATACATTTCCTTCATAACATATATCCACATGTAATATATTTTAAGAAATTGTTGCCAATGAACTCAAACTCTGAATTACTGAATTCATTTCTTTCATTGTATTTTTAAATATATATCAAAATAAACTGAAAGTATTTACAGTGTAAATGAAATTTGTCATAGTAATTTTTTATGTCCTCTTCATTTAAATACCGTATATACTCGAGTATAAGCCGAGTTTTTCAGCCCATTTTTT